TACGCTTTAGCGTTGTTTTGGGGCTGTTTTCGCTCACTTGGGCTGGACGGTAGAGCGACGGTCTCGCTTCATGCAGGTCGGCGTTCAATCCCCGACCGTCCACAAGTGGTCACCATTCCCTCCCGTCCCATCCCAAATCCTTATCCTGATCCCCCTTCCAAGTGCTATATAGTCGTGATGGCTTGGCACTCCCCCCCCCCCCTGATAGTTCCCTTCCGTTATAAAGTTTACGTTATCAGTTATAACGGTGCGATATTTGCTATAACAGCCCGGCCTCGCGGCTTGTCACAACGTACAGATTCCGCCCTCCTAACCCAACCAGAAACGCATGAACCCAACCCACCCACCTAGCCTAACTAATGCATAGCGAGCTGATACTTTTCAAAGCACATTGCCTTTGGTACACGGGCTACCAGAACGTTATATTAGTTGAGAGGACGGGTTCGTTATTGACTGAACCGTTACGATATCGGATATAACGTTAGTGTATCGTGTGTGAACGTGCAGCTGAACACTGCTTAGATCTATCTATCGGAGGGGAGATAGATCTCTTCTGTCTATCCAAATGGCAGCGGGGAGCCTAGCATGCTATGTTGGATGCTCTTAGGCCTAAGCTGGGTCCTGACCTATTGTTATTAGGCCTAAGCTGGGTCCTAACCTATTGTGTCTTATCTATTGGCCAGCCGCGGTCAAAATATAATTTGTTAGTTATTGTCAATAAAATGACATATTGTATACTGCCAAACACACAGTATACATGCGGAGAGAAGCACAGCCTAGCGGATCAAGTCTACACAAGCCTGGCCGGCCCCAGGGCGGGCTTGGGGAACAGGGGCCAGATTCACGAAGCAGTTACGCAAGTAATTACGAACGTGTACATCTTTCCTCAATCTTTGACGGCTTTGGTTACATTTATTAAACAGTTTACAAGCATGAAAACTTGCCAATCAACTGTTGTTATTGTTATAAACAGCCTCCTGGTGCTTCGGGGATCAATGTACTTGCGGGGGTTGAGCTCTGGCTCTTTGGTCCCGCCTCTCAACCGTCAATCAACAGGTGTGTGTGTGTGTGTGTGTGTGTGTGTGTGTACCTTGCGTTGTTGTATTTGAGCGTGCTTGCTGTAGTTAGTATACAAGTGCGTGCGCCCTTGTGTGTGTGTTCATTTGGGTGCGCATATAGGAGCTTAAGCTAATTATCCAACCACTCTGACAATGCAGGTGCAGCAGAGGTCGTTAACGGTGTAAGTTTGTGCTCTGCAGGCATTGTTTCCAAAGTGGCCGCGTGTTTGTCACCAGGCGGCCGATGTCGCGCCAACCAAACCTCTAAACTTTTATTTCTGTTTAAGTAGGGAGGGGGGGGGGGGGTCGGCGGCTGTTTGGCCTGGTCGTCAATCTTGTTTGTGGGAGCGTCATTGTCTGCGTCTGGTGTGTGGGAGCGTCATTGTCTGCGTCTTGTTTGTGGGAGCGTCATTGTCTGCGTCTGGTTTGTGGGAGCGTCATTGTCTGCGTCTTGTTTGTGGGAGCGTCATTGTCTGCGTCTGGTTTGTGGGAGCGTCATTGTCTGCGTCTGGTTTGTGGGAGCGTCATTGTCTGCGTCTTGTTTGTGGGAGCGTCATTGTCTGCGTCTTGTTTGTGGGAGCGTCATTGTCTGCGTCTTGTTTGTGGGAGCGTCATTGTCTGCGTCTTGTTTGTGGGAGCGTCATTGTCTGCGTCTGGTTTGTGGGAGCGTCATTGTCTGCGTCTGGTGTGTGGGGGCGTCATTGTCTGCGTCTGGTTTGTGGGAGCGTCATTGTCTGCGTCTTGTTTGTGGGAGCGTCATTGTCTGCGTCTGGTTTGTGGGAGTGTCATTGTCTGCGTCTGGTTTGTGGGAGCGTCATTGTCTGCGTCTTGTTTGTGGGAGCGTCATTGTCTGCGTCTGGTTTGTGGGAGTGTCATTGTCTGCGTCTGGTGTGTGGGGGCGTCATTGTCTGCGTCTGGTTTGTGGGAGCGTCATTGTCTGCGTCTGGTGTGTGGGAGCGTCATTGTCTGCGTCTTGTTTGTGGGAGCGTCATTGTCTGCGTCTGGTTTGTGGGAGCGTCATTGTCTGCGTCTGGTGTGTGGGAGCGTCATTGTCTGCGTCTTGTTTGTGGGAGCGTCATTGTCTGCGTCTTGTTTGTGGGAGCGTCATTGTCTGCGTCTGGTTTGTGGGAGCGTCATTGTCTGCGTCTGGTTTGTGGGAGCGTCATTGTCTGCGTCTGGTGTGTGGGAGCGTCATTGTCTGCGTCTTGTTTGTGGGAGCGTCATTGTCTGCGTCTTGTTTGTGGGAGCGTCATTGTCTGCGTCTGGTGTGTGGGGGCGTCATTGTCTGCGTCTTGTTTGTGGGAGCGTCATTGTCTGCGTCTGGTTTGTGGGAGCGTCATTGTCTGCGTCTGGTTTGTGGGAGCGTCATTGTCTGCGTCTTGTTTGTGGGAGCGTCATTGTCTGCGTCTGGTGTGTGGGAGCGTCATTGTCTGCGTCTTGTTTGTGGGAGCGTCATTGTCTGCGTCTTGTTTGTGGGAGCGTCATTGTCTGCGTCTTGTTTGTGGGAGCGTCATTGTCTGCGTCTGGTGTGTGGGGGCGTCATTGTCTGCGTCTTGTTTGTGGGAGCGTCATTGTCTGCGTCTTGTTTGTGGGAGCGTCATTGTCTGCGTCTGGTGTGTGGGAGCGTCATTGTCTGCGTCTGGTGTGTGGGGGCGTCATTGTCTGCGTCTGGTGTGTGGGGGCGTCATTGTCTGCGTCTGGTGTGTGGGAGCGTCATTGTCTGCGTCTGGTGTGTGGGAGCGTGAGTGGCTGAGTGTGGTGTGTCGTAGGTAGTTAACCAACTTGTAAGTTATGCTAACTTGTATTCTGAATGAACAAGTACCTTTGGAAAGCGGCAAGACAGCTTATTTCTCGAAGCTTGGAACCAACGCGGCGATAAAACTCGACTTACCTTCAGGACATGACAATCATACCGTATACAACACTTGAAATTATGTAATATATTATTTGTAGAGGGATAGGAGTTTGTTAGGGGGATAGGGGGATATATAGGGGGGAAGGGGGATATATAGGGGGGGAGGGGGGATATATAGGGGGGAGGGGGGATATATAGGGGGGGAGGGGGAATTGTAAGCGATAGGTAATTTGCAACCATTGTTACAGTTTTGGGTTGTAGTTATAGCAGCCTGACGTATGTGTCACAGCCTGGTTGATCAAGTATCATTTGAAGGTGTTTATTAAGCTCTCCTTTGAACATTGTAAGACGCCAGCCAGTTATGCCCCTTATGTATAGAAGTTCTTTCTGAGCGTACCTAATCCACTTCTGGTTTTCAACGGAGGTATTCTGCACATCCTGTCATGCCTTCTGGTCTCATGTAGTGTTATTTCTGTGTGAAAGTTTGGAACTAGTCCTTCTAGTATTTTCCCGAGTGTAAATTATTAGGTATTTCTCCCGCCTGCGCTCTAGGGAATACAGATCTAAAAAAAATAAGCAGTCTCGATAATTTAAAAGTTTTATTGGCAGAGTCTAGCAGTAAAAGATGTTTGAGTGGCTTCCTTGCCCATGTTCCTGCAGCTTTGCATATGCTGCTGATGTTACACTGTTAATGGTCACTTCTGGTGACAGGCTCGGAGGATTATCTTTAAAACACGAGTGTATATATATATTTACCGTCTGATGCGTGCACCTGTCTGTACCGTCTGTAATGTGAAGAGGATGACGGGGGTTTTGCCATTGTTTTCTTTCTCTTGTGTGAATAGGTTTCTCCGTTTGTGGTTTAGGGGCGTGAGGGTAGTTAGTGAAGTAGTTATTGTGGTGTGGGCGCTGGAGGAGGGCGAGCCAGGTGTTGGAGGGTGGCCAGGGGACGGGCCAAATGACAATAAATAGCTGGCCACCAACAAGACTCCACCGGGGCCGTGCCAGCATGCCGCGCTCCCGCCCGGGGCCAACTCTCTCTCCTCTCTCCCGCCTCCCGCACCCTTCCTCGCTCGACCCTCCATCCAGCAGCATATGCTGCCTTCCCTGCCCTCCACCCTCCCTCTCCTGCCTTCCCTGCCCTCCACCCTCCCTCTCCTGCCTTCCCTGCCCTCCACCCTCCCTCTCCTGCCTTCCCTGCCCTCCACCCTCCCTCTCCTGCCTTCCCTGCCCTCCACCCTCCCTCTCCTGCCTTCCCTGCCCTCCACCCTCCCTCTCCTGCCTTCCCTGCCCTCCACCCTCCCTCTCCTGCCTTCCCTGCCCTCCACCCTCCCTCTCCTGCCTTCCCTGCCCTCCACCCTCCCTCTCCTGCCTTCCCTGCCCTCCACCCTCCCTTTCCTGCCTTCCCTGCCCTCCACCCTCCCTCTCCTGCCTTCCCTGCCCTCCACCCACCCTCTCCTGCCTTCCCTGCCCTCCACCCTCCCTCTCCTGCCTTCCCTGCCCTCCGCCCACCCTCTCCTGCCTTCCCTGCCCTCCACCCTCCCTCTCCTGCCTTCCCTGCCCTCCGCCCTCCCTCTCCTGCCATCCACCCTCCCTCTTCTGCCTTCCCTGCCCTCCACCCACCCTCTCCTGCCTTCCATATAGCCTCTCCAGCCTTCCCTGTCCTTCGCCCAGCCTCTGCTGCCTTCTCAAGCCTGCATCTTTTCCCTTCCTTATCTGTTTTTATTTTTTAATTGTTGCTTTCCTCGACCATGTTTTTACCCGGCTGTCCTCCCTGTGTCCTCCACCCCCCCCCCCCTCCCTTACCTAGTTTGTTGCCACTACCACAGCTACCCCCTTCCCCATCACCCCCTCCCCATCACTCCCCCTCCCCATCACCCCCCCCCCTTTCCCATCACCCCCCCTTCCCCATCACCCCCTCCCCATCACTCCCCCTCCCCATCACCCCCCCTTCCCCATCACCCCCCCCCCTCTCCCCTCCCAAGCCCACGTCCTTCATACTGTGGATTTAACTTGTTTTTCCCCCGTAAATGTTGGTCATTTATCTCCCGTGATTTACGGAGGCGCGCAATGCCGGAACCTGTCAGATGAGGCCTACGGTGGCTGTAGGGGCACGGTCAGCCCACACCCTGGAGTGCCACGGTCAGCCCACACCCTGGAGTGCCACGGTCAGCCCACACTCTGGAGTGCCACGGTCAGCCCCACACCCTGGAGTGCCACGGTCAGCCCACACCCTGGAGTGCCACGGTCAGCCCACACCCTGGAGTGCCACGGTCAGCCCACCCTCTGGAGTGCCACGGTCAGCCCCACACCCTGGAGTGCCACGGTCAGCCCACACCCTGGAGTGCCACGGTCAGCCCCACACCCTGGAGTGCCACGGTCAGCCCACACTCTGGAGTGCCACGGTCAGCCCCACACCCTGGAGTGCCACGGTCAGCCCACACCCTGGAGTGCCACGGTCAGCCCCACACCCTGGAGTGCCACGGTCAGCCCACACCCTGGAGTGCCGCGGTCAGCCCCACACTCTGGAGTGCCAGGGTCAGCCCACACCCTGGAGTGCCGCGGTCAGCCCCACACTCTGGAGTGCCAGGGTCAGCCCACACCCTGGAGTGCCGCGGTCAGCCCCACACTCTGGAGTGCCAGGGTCAGCCCACACTCTGGAGTGCCAGGGTCAGCCCACACCCTGGAGTGCCAGGGTCAGCCCACACTCTGGAGTGCCAGGGTCAGCCCCACACTCTGGAGTGCCACGGTCAGCCCCACACCCTGGAGTGCCACGGTCAGCCCACACCCTGGAGTGCCAGGGTCAGCCCCACACCCTGGAGTGCCACGGTCAGCCCCACACCCTGGAGTGCCACGGTCAGCCCCACACCCTGGAGTGCCACGGTCAGCCCCACACCCTGGAGTGCCACGGTCAGCCCACACCCTGGAGTGCCACGGTCAGCCCCACACCCTGGAGTGCCACGGTCAGCCCACACTCTGGAGTGCCACGGTCAGCCCCACACCCTGGAGTGCCACGGTCAGCCCACACCCTGGAGTGCCACGGTCAGCCCACACCCTGGAGTGCCAAGGTCAGCCCACACCCTGGAGTGCCACGGTCAGCCCACACCCTGGAGTGCCACGGTCAGCCCACACCGTGGAGTGCCACGGTCAGCCCACACCGTGGAGTGCCACGGTCAGCCCACACTCTGGAGTGCCACGGTCAGCCCCACACCCTGGAGTGCCACGGTCAGCCCACACCCTGGAGTGCCACGGTCAGCCCCACACCCTGGAGTGCCACGGTCAGCCCACACCCTGGAGTGCCGCGGTCAGCCCCACACTCTGGAGTGCCAGGGTCAGCCCACACCCTGGAGTGCCGCGGTCAGCCCCACACTCTGGAGTGCCAGGGTCAGCCCACACCCTGGAGTGCCGCGGTCAGCCCCACACTCTGGAGTGCCAGGGTCAGCCCACACTCTGGAGTGCCAGGGTCAGCCCACACCCTGGAGTGCCAGGGTCAGCCCACACTCTGGAGTGCCAGGGTCAGCCCCACACTCTGGAGTGCCACGGTCAGCCCCACACCCTGGAGTGCCACGGTCAGCCCACACCCTGGAGTGCCAGGGTCAGCCCCACACCCTGGAGTGCCACGGTCAGCCCCACACCCTGGAGTGCCACGGTCAGCCCCACACCCTGGAGTGCCACGGTCAGCCCCACACCCTGGAGTGCCACGGTCAGCCCACACCCTGGAGTGCCACGGTCAGCCCCACACCCTGGAGTGCCACGGTCAGCCCACACTCTGGAGTGCCACGGTCAGCCCCACACCCTGGAGTGCCACGGGCAGCCCACACCCTGGAGTGCCACGGTCAGCCCACACCCTGGAGTGCCAAGGTCAGCCCACACCCTGGAGTGCCACGGTCAGCCCACACCCTGGAGTGCCACGGTCAGCCCACACCGTGGAGTGCCACGGTCAGCCCACACCGTGGAGTGCCACGGTCAGCCCACACCGTGGAGTGCCACGGTCAGCCCACACCGTGGAGTGCCACGGTCAGCCCACACCGTGGAGTGCCACGGTCAGCCCACACCGTGGAGTGCCACGGTCAGCCCACACCCTGGAGTGCCAAGGTCAGCCCACACTCTGGAGTGCCAAGGTCAGCCCACACCCTGGAGTGCCACGGTCAGCCCACACTCTGGAGTGCCACGGTCAGCCCACACCCTGGAGTGCCACGGTCAGCCCACACCCTGGAGTGCCACGGTCAGCCCCACACCCTGGAGTGCCACGGTCAGCCCACACCGTGGAGTGCCACGGTCAGCCCACACCGTGGAGTGCCACGGTCAGCCCCACACCGTGGAGTGCCACGGTCAGCCCACACCGTGGAGTGCCACGGTCAGCCCCACACCCTGGAGTGCCACGGTCAGCCCCACACCCTGGAGTGCCAAGGTCAGCCCACACCCTGGAGTGCCAAGGTCAGCCCACACCCTGGAGTGCCACGGTCAGCCCCCACACCCTGGAGTGCCACGGTCAGCCCCACACCCTGGAGTGCCACGGTCAGACCCCACACCCTGGAGTGCCACGGTCAGCCCCACACCCTGGAGTGCCACGGTCAGCCCACACCCTGGAGTGCCACGGTCAGCCCACACCCTGGAGTGCCACGGTCAGCCCACACCCTGGAGTGCCACGATCAGCCCACACCCTGGAGTGCCAAGGTCAGCCCACACCCTGGAGTGCCAAGGTCAGCCCACACCCTGGAGTGCCAAGGTCAGCCCACACCCTGGAGTGCCAAGGTCAGCCCACACCCTGGAGTGCCAAGGTCAGCTGTAACTTACTGGCACTGTGTGAGGCAAGGTTGACCCACACTAACGAGTGCCACAGACAGTTAACCCGCTCCCCCCTGGCACTATATTACCCACTACACACCTTCGCAAACTCTACTGGCTTGTTCGTTCTCGCGCCGGGGGGGGGGGTTGAGCTTTAGTTCTCTGGTCCCCGCCTCTCAACCTTCGTACAGGTTTCTGAGCTGATTGGGCTCCATGTCTACATTTGAAGCAGTGTACACACAGCCTTTGACTTAGTTTGTTATAATGGCCGTGTGGCTTGGCCACTTAAGGTTCTACATGATTCTTGTGTGAGTACCACATCCCATTCAAATTAATGTGTTCTTTGCTCTATCAATTCTTCTGAGAATTTGGTATGTGGTAATCATGTCTGCACTAGCTCTTTTGTCTTCCACTCATTTAGTCTTCATTCTTAACTCATACCTCTTAGCTCTGGTACTTGACTGGTGGCATAACTCAACTTTGTCCAGCTTTGTTTTGTATTTTACATATACACACACAAATGGTTTTACGGTGGCGCTGCATATTCCAGTGTTGGTCTGATGTAGGTAGCATATATCGTCCTGAATGATTCCCTCTTAAAATTCTAAAAGCAGTTCTTGGCCAACCAAACAGACGCCGCTGATGATATCTATTTGATGTGTGCTTCAAGAGACAGGCTCGGCGTGATATCAACACTCTGCCGGTGTCTTAAAGTGTTTCACCTCCCATTTTGTAGTTTGTATCCTGCCATCTGTACCCAACACCCTGTTTCATTACTGTGCCAATTTGAGTTAAACTCTAGTAGCCATTTGTTGAACTATTCGTTTTGTTTGTCCAGATTATCTTAAAGATTCTTTTCTTGCTCACCATCTCCCGAGTTAATTCGCCTCATAGTGTTTGACATCAGTAAACACTGAGAAGAATGGATGTATTCGGGCCGCTCCAAGCAACAGCCTGGTGGACCAAACTCTCACAAGTCATGCCTGGCTTCGGGCCGGGCTTGGGGAGTAGAAGAACTCCCAGAACCCCATCAACCAGGTATCAACCAGGTAGTCCCTCTGGAAGGTAATTGACATATATCAGGCACAAGATAGGTCTGTATACTGACTTATACAGCTGGTGGACTCTGGTGGTGACGTGTCGACGCTAAGATCAACTCCCTACTATTAGAACGTCGCATTTTGACGTATACTCTACCCAAGGCCCCAAATTGTCGTACTAGAAAATGGAAGCGGCTCGCAAAATTGACATATTGTCCCGTTTTCTGTTTTGGGTCCTCTGGGAGGTTAGGAGAGGAGACTTTTTAGTAAGACAGTTTGTAGACGTTGGGGAACCTTAGGAGGACGGGGTGGTGAGATGACTCTCACGGTGACTGGCTGTGTGCACTCACGTAGTTGTACCTGCAGGATCGAGCGTTGGCTCTTGGATCCAGCCTTTCTAGCCGCAGGTTGTTTAAAGTTTTAGACTCTTGTCTTTCTTCTCTGTATTGTATAGTTGTAAAACTGTGAATAGTGTTTGCTACTACAACGTGCTCCTTTAGTTTAGTACATTTTTCCACTACTCTCACGCTAAAATAAAACTGTGTGTGTGTGTGTGTGTGTGTGTGTGTGTGTGTGTGTGTGTGTGTGTGTGTGTGTGAAACTCAAGGCGCTCAGGAAAGGTTAGTGGTGGATTGTTGTACATGATGTGAGGAGGAGGTGAAGTGAGGGTGGTGAGGTGCGCCTGTGTGGTGGGGGTGAGGGAGGTGCTTCCCAGTGGTATGTTAGGTATGTGTGAGGCAGATGTTGTTGTAACCTGTGTGTGTGTGTGTATATATATATATATATATATATATATATATATATATATATATATATATATATATATATATATATATATATTAAAAGGGTACCACCTCTGGTGCCAATGTGGGGACCCATAGCCTCAGAGAAGAAAATAAAAAGTATTCAGAGGAGACCTTGTGGTTTCTCACTGAACACTAATATTATCTTCTCCTACCACCCCCATTCTTTTGTATGTACACATATATATTTACTTTATTTGAACTTTGTTACAAAAAAGGAGTTACATATGGGTTACAAAGATGGTTATCATAGGTTGTCGAGTTCCTCCAGCTCCTCAGATGGCGAGCAGGAACCCTGGATGCAGTGCGCATTTCCCCTCTGTATCGCCACACTGAGGCGCTGGAAAAGAAAGCTTGCAGCTCTTGGGTCCCTTGTTGTTTCAATGAGCCTAGAACCCAGTTCCTTCAAAATAACTGGTAGCACTTTTATCCCAGGCGCCGAGTGTCTCAGAAGCAATGGGGACAAAATTGTAGTGGTGATCCAGTTCTCTATACTTACGGGATTTGGCTGCTTCCCTGTGGGTGGCAGCGCCACCTGGTTGTGCAACACTGAGGTTAATATAGGTGTTAGCCAGGGTTGATACGCACGTGTAGTCCCATACCAACTGCTTGCCATTCTTCCAGGGGTTCACTGTGATACCATCCGGGCGACCAATAAGAGCATCAGAGTTACGGGGCGTCAGGTAACGGGGCTCTCTTTCAGCTGGGCATCCAGCTGTGGCGAGGCTCCTCTTGATGTCGTTAACTTCACTGTGCCTCGAGTGCCATCCCCCTGTGCTTTGGCAGAGTAGGCCATGGTGGCCGTACCTGTCAGCCACCACCTCGCCGCTATATATATATATATATATATATACATATACATATATATATATATATATATATATATATATATATATATATATATATATATATATATATATATATATATATATAACATATATAATATTATAGGACCTACTTGAGACCACACAGGTGCCACAGGTGCTACATAGGTCTCCCAGATTTGGTTCCTTCTTGCGACAATTTCTTCATTATTCAGACAAATTCGTTTGAGAATGTTCGCAACCATATCGTCGGCACCTGAGGGCGTCTGCGGGCCGCTCCGGGCCTTTAATCACCCGAGCAATTCTAATAATGGTTTGATTTTATTATGATGTCGAGGTGTTGTATACATTGGATACAATACCACTTGACACACACAGAGATCACAATAACGTGATGCATCAAATGAACAAATCCACAAGGGCCGATTTCCCTTGTGGATTTGCATCCCGATGTCTGGGATGCTCCCGGACGCAGGTTCGAATCCTCGTCACGGCCCTTGTGGATTTGTTCAATAGCACTTTTGTTGACACGTCCAGTGGGGCGCTGTAGTTATGTTGAGAGGCAATGATTGGTCTCGGAGGTTGGGGCTGTTAAGACTAATAGGCTGTGTAGGCCTATATATAAAGAAGTGGGACATGCAAGAGTGCTACTGGCTTGTTAGCTCAAGCGAGACTTACAGGTTGTTGCTACCTACCTTAGTCCCCAGTATAGGGAATGGGGAAGTTATCTACCTCAGCTCCCAGTGTAAGGGAAGGGGCAGTCGCGCCTACCTTAGTCCTTGTTCTGCTGTACAAGTGTCCTCTTCCCCTACACACACACACACACACACACACACACACACACACACACACACACACACACACACACACACACACACACAGTTGAGTGGCGGGACCAAAGAGCCAGAGCTCAACCCCCGCAAGCACAATTAGGTGAGTACACACACTCACACAGGGGGCCTGTGGCTGAGTGGACAACGCTTGGGGCTCGTAATCCTAGGGTCCGGGTTCGATCCCCGACGATGGTGGAAAACAAATGGGCAAATTCTCTCTCTCTCTCTCTCTCTCTCTCTCTCTCTCTCTCTCTCTCTCTCTCTCTCTCTCTCTCTCTCTCTCTCTCTCTCTCTCTCTCTCTCTCAACCTGATGTAAGGCAGTAGCGCCCCTGGAAGAGTCATATTAGCAAGTTTGTTTATAATATACAGTTGTCATGTTTATAAAGTCAACAGTGACACGCGCGCAATAACGCAGCTCTGTCTTGCACCGAGTTTGCCAAGTGTTGAGAAGGCTGCTTCCAACTGGTTACTGCTTATTGAAGCTATAATCACATGCTTATTACTGCTTGTGGACGGACAGTTGGGTCTTGATTGGATTGTTAATGTTATGTTGAATTGCCTCGTTGGATGTTGTCATCAGGGTGGTTGTATAATGTGATTCATCACTCTATATTTTGTTGTTATTCAATATTTTGGGGAAATTGAAGTCGATAGAGACCAGTTTGCCCCGGGATCTGTGGTACAGGTAACCTGGCCAACGACAGGATGAACAACCCAGCGGGTTTTCTTCCTATTGGGGAGTGTTGTACATGCTGCTATGGCGGTGTGTCCACTCACAAGATGAGTGGCGCTGCCCAATAAACTCGCCCCTCGGGGCAAAATTTAAAAAAAATGTAAGCTGGCTGAGGTGTACTCTCCTATTTGTGCTTGCGGGGATTGAGCTCTGGCTCTTTGGTCCCACCTCAACTGTCAATCAACTGGTGTACAGATTCCTAAACCTACTGGGCTCTATCAGTGTGTATCACTTGCAATGAGAGTTTGTTGGTATATATTGCACAGAGAATAAGAGTTATCGAGAGTGCTCTGGGAATAAGAGTATGAACTCTTTGCACTCAGAGGAAAGTTTATTTGCATAGGTCATTTAGTAATTATATCTTAAATGGAGAGTATATTAACATTTATTACTGGCATAGAGAGCAAGATAACATGTATTACTGGCACAGAGAGCAAGACAACATGTATTACTGGCATAGAGAGCAAGATAACATGTATTACTGGCACAGAGAGCAAGATAACATGTATTACTGGCACAGAGAGCAAGATAGCATGTATTACTGGCACAGAGAGCAAGATAGCATGTATTACTGGCACAGAGAGCAAGATAACATGTATTACTGGCACAGAGGGCAAGATATGTATTACTGGCACAGAGAGCAAGATAACATGTATTACTGGCACAGAGAGCAAGATAACATGTATTACTGGCACAGAGTAAGATAACATGCAGTACTGGCATAGAGTAAGATAACATGCAGTACTGGCATAGAGACAC